AAGGAAAACAGTAGTCAAAAGATAAACAAAAAAATTAATTATTAATTAGTAAAAAAAAATCCCTAGGACCTCAGCCACTCCAACTTTGCTCTGTGAAATTCGGTACCCATGAATGGTAATTGAGAGTGAAGGAGTGAGGGAGGGAGGAAGAGAGAGAGAGAGAGAGAGAGAGAGAGAGAGATTGCCATCTACTGGTAGTTCTGTTACTAAGGGAGGATTCAATCCTCTTCAGTAAAGGAGTTTATCCTCGGAACACTGGATGGGATGCCAAGCCATCAAAAGGCATCATACACACATATTCAAACCAAGGGGCAATTTAGCATAGCCAGTCCAGCTACTGGCATGTTTTATTGAGGCGGGAGGAGAGTGAAGAACCCGGAGGAACCCCATATGGACACAGGGAGAACAAGTGAAACTCCATACAGACAGTAATCTGAGCTCAGCCTATGTGCCACTACTAAGGGAGGATACAGTATACAAAAAGATTAGATTACATTTTGATGGTTTTGTTGGTCTACTATATATTGCCACAGCAGTGTATTTTCCTAAAAATCATATGGTTTTTTTTTTTTGAAGATAAATGACTGGAAAACCCCAAATTGCTATTAACTTCAGTTTTACTTCAATTAGGACAAATGATTCTGCAACACCAGTATTTTCTGGAGCCACCACGTTTCAATGGACAAATGAAACACACAAACACACACACATACACGCACACAGGGCCTGGTAATTTAAGCCTCTTAACACTAATGCATGTGTTGCTGAGTGAGCACTAGACAAGAACAAAATGGCTTCAGGAAATTCATCAGCAGTTTAGAACTATGAAGATTGTTAATATGTCCCGGTTTTGGTTTGGGCAGTGTGTTAAGATGGAATAGAGGGCAAATACATAACCTGTGCAAGACCTTGGAAGTGCAGTCAATAGTATAAAATGGCAGATGTGGTGGGTATATGGGAGGTGCCTCTCAGTGATGGGATTTACCAGATTGAATTTGAGCATGGAACCACCACAGGGAAACGTGTTATTTATATCAACAGAAAGGTGAGCTGAAACGTTTATTATATGATGTTTCGACTTTAGTTGATGAGAAACAATGTAGGTAATTCATAACGTCATCATATTACATGTTCAAGACATGTTGAGAACTGTTTCATTTTAAAGGAGGTCCTCAGAAGGGACTGGATGTTCAAACTGGTGGGCAAGGAAACATTTCCTGTGGGACGTACAGGCGCAAAAGCTACTATAAATATCGAAGCACTTACCGGCTTTACTTATGAGTACACTCTGGAAATCAATGGAAAGAGCTTCCAGACTTTTATAGACAACTGGGCCAAAATATCCAAGACTTGGCTGCTGAAACTTGATGGTGCTGACTGCAGGATAGTTCTGGGTAAGAGAGAAAAGCAATGCAGCAGGAGAAAATGTGTTCAGGGAAAATGCATTTAGAATAAAATAGCTAGTAGCTAATTGTCTATGCCACTCACTATCTTCAAGAAGCACATTGTCTTCAAGTGAATCTCATTTAAACCTGTGTGTGCAGTCTTCTACAGTCTTTTTGCTTACTTATTTTTCAGACAAGCATACAGAGAGTTCTAGATGTTTGTATCATGTGTAATTACAGGATTACAGTCATAGGCATACTCCTTTGCCAGATGTTGCAATACTCCTGCATATCCTCATGCACTCCATTTTCTAATGTGTGTTGTTTAAATAATTCTGGTTTCTATAACCTCTCAGAGAAAGATACCATGGATGTATGGTGCAATGGTCAAAAGTTGGAAACCACGGTAAGTTACTCTTTGAATCATGCTTTGGGTGACTCATTGTATGAAAAGATCTCATGCATCATGATTATTGCTTTTCACATTTAAGAATAAACTGCTGCAGACAATTAGAGCGTAATACAGTAAATACAAGTACACATACATTTGCCAAGATATTCATGTGTGCTGTGCTTTTATAGCTACTGCATTAGCATTTTCATCATAAATGTGTGCTTTTGTATTTGTAATTATGTACAGGGAGAGTTTACAGACGATAGCACTGAGACGCACTTTGCAGTGGGGAAACATGAGTGTTGCATAAAAGCCACTGGCAGTGGGAAGAAAAGGAATGGAGTAATGCACACTCTGCTTGTGGATGGGACAAAGGTCTTATGACGAAGAGGACGTACCTGTTTCACTTTGAAGTACTTGAGGCTCAGGTGGCGAAGGAGCAGAGCGGTTACGTCCTTGTGCTCTAGCACTTCTGAATCTAAAGTTATTAAAATGTGATTAACTAATAAGCTATAGTCAGAGTGGCATATGCTTTGTCTGGGAAAAGCAGTATAGGAAATTTCAGCCAATTAAATGATAGTGATCAGTGATTTCAGTCAATTAATTTCACTTTAATTCAATAAAAGGTGGCATTGTTTATTCTATTTTTGTGTTATTTCTATAGACACGTTTGTAGACATAGATATAGATTCGGGCAATTGTTTGCCAGACTGGATTCAAATGTTTACTCATTTTCTCATTGCAAGAATTCCTTTTCATGCACAAAATAAATTGAAATGAATTGCAGTATCATGTGCATTGGAATACATGTTGCATTACCTGATTATGCCCCATGTCATTTTAAGTCCTATCTGTGTGTGCATATGCAGTAAAACACATAATGTTGTGCTCAGATTAAACACTGGGTTGAGTGATAAGTACACCGCCTTTGTTGCTATGTGACTTGTGTGTTGGGGCGTGACCACATGGATGGCAGCTGGCACTCTTAAAATAAGCCTTGCCACCCCAATTCTAACCACAAATCTTGTGTCCAAGAGGTTTATTATGCTTATGCAGTTCATGCAGAATTAATGAATCTTATTACTCATGTTTATTTAGCATTAGGCATTTTGATTCAATGCCTTGAATAACTATAGAGTAACTATACTGTAACATCATAATGTGGCCATTCATTTTGCACCAAGAAACAATCGGATATGATTCAAAAACAACACTGTCTTATAGATAATTAGATCATGCTTTTGATTTATGTGAATGACAAGGAGTTAGTTGATACAGCGATGATGATGTAAGCTTAAAAACATTTTTTTTTAATTCATTCGTCTTTAGTAACCACTATATACTGGTCAGGGCAGTGGTGGACCCGGAGCCTATCCCAGGAACACTGAACATGAGGTGGGAATACATCCTAAATGGGTTTCCATTGCAATGTAGCACTCACACACGTTTACACCTAGGGGCAATTTTTTTTTTTTTACTGGCATGTTTTTAATAGGTGAAAGAAAACTGGAGAACCCGAAGGAAACCCACATAAACACGGGGAGAACATGCACAGAAACCCCACTCAGACAGCTCAGGATCAAACCTGTGAGTCTCTAACAGATCCTAACTCTTAATCTAACCTCTATTTGCCACCTTATTATCTAAAACCTGGACACACAGGTGCCTGAGTACTGCACAGGATTAGCGCAGCCAGAGCCGTAACGACTGCGTAGCAGGGATTAGACCATTTTCCCAGTGCACTGCGCAGAGTTGTTGCAGCCAGGACTGTGACCAACGCTCAGCAGCCGCGACTCTGAGCTTTCCAGTAGGAAACGTCCCAAGGAGCGAGCACGCGCAATGGTGTGTGTGTGAGAGAGGATACGGACGGGACGGAGAGCGGCGCAGGAGGAAGAAGGGGAACGCTCGCTCGCGTCTTTGCTCGTGAAACAGCAAACAATACAGTGAAACAAGCGACCGGACCGGAGCATAACATCACCGTTTGTGTGCGCGTGAGTCGGCAGGCTCGTGGAAAGATAGTTTGGCGGCTGTTCTTTGGCAGCGCGCGCTGAAGTGAAAACGAGGCAGAAGAGCGGAGTGCGCAGAGCCGACACACTCACAGCGGGCTAGCGCGCTAGCACATCACAGCTAGCTAACCGGCGCTCTCTTTCACAGTTGTTGCGTTGATTGGTTTTGTTTTTTTTTCCGTTTAAACAAGGCAGCCAGCGCCCTAAAAACAATGACAAGGGCCAGGCCCGGTCAGGTATACTTTATTCTGCAAAAACTGAGCGGTTTTTAGGGGCCTGTTCTTGTCTTTTTTCTTTCTTCACCCTCGCTAGCTAGATAGCCTTTAGCCAGTTATGACAAACACTTGGTGATTTCAGCAGGCTGGGTTCATACGCTGTGCTGCTGGTGTGATTTTTGGCTTTCCCTACTCCGGAGGCGGAGGGAGGATATGGGGAAGCTGTGCCGAGCTGACCGTCTCCATCTGCCGCTTCAGCCAGGATTTCACCTCGGGAGAGCTCTCAGCCTCCCTCCGGCTTTCGAGCTTCTGCAGTGGGATCTGCTGTGTGGAAAGATGAGCGTTACACAGGCGCACTTCACAACCTCTGCTAGCTAGCTGCTTTGATTTGCTCTGCTTTTGGTTTGCTTAGTGGTGAACTTGTCACTCGAAATACCTGACCGTTTGCAGGATTAATAACCATAAAGTGGCTGAATAATTGTGTTCTGATTGTAAAAAGACAGTATTAACACACACACACACACACACACACACACACACACACAGAGGGTTGCTGGTTCTCGGACCATGGTCTAGTCCGCTGCCTGAATCACACAGAGACACGGTTATCTTGCCAGTACTCATCGGAGCCTGTTGAGTGGCTTTACATCTGCAAAATGAACTATCAGCAGCATCTCGCCAATTCGGCGGCGATCAGAGCCGAGATCCAGAGATTTGAATCCGTCCATCCGAACATCTACTCCATCTACGAGCTGCTGGAGCGGGTGGACGAGCCTCTGCTGCAGAACCAGATCCGGGAGCATGTCATTGCCATCGAAGGTAAGACTGGGTGAAGTTCTGACTCTTCATGCTCTTCATGGCATTGGCATGGGCATTTATGCTGCATCTCCTTCACATGATCCACAATGTCCCATCTCACTTTGGCCAGGTTGTCTTAGGTCGTGGACTGATATTGTGTTATGCAGCAGGGGTGTAACGGACAGGGGGCAGGGGTGTAAAGGGCAGGGGTAGCTCAGTGGTTAAGATGTTGAACTACCGATCAGAAGGTTGTGAGTTCAGATCCCGGCTCTGCCAAGCTGCCACTGCTGGGCCCTTGAGCAAGACCCTTAACTGCTCAGTTGTATAAATAAGATAAAAATGTAAGTCGCTGTGGATAAGGGTATCTGCCAAATGCCATAAATGTAATGTAATATAATACACCTCATGGTCTGATGTTGGATCACCATGTTCACTTGAAGGACATACACATCTAATGTCCTGGAACAGTTTTTATTGCCTTACAACAAACTGGACAGATCATACATAGTTCTTACACTTTGTTCACTTTCACATCTTCTTCTGAATTGATTTCAAGCTTTTTTTTTTTTTTTTTGGCACTAAAACATTATTTTAATCAGCAGGTGTTTCATTGTATCACTTAGTAGCTGTGTGTTTGGGCAGAAATCCACACTTACGAACTGCATGGGCATTACATCATCAGATTACCTCAGTAATAAAGTACTATTAGGATTGGGATAAGGTTTCCGGACAGACGTCACATGTCTTTTAAGTAATGTTGCCACAGGATATCTGTAATGATTATTGTCCTCTTTGCATAGGATCTTTGTATAAATCACAGAGATGGGAGTGTCTTCACAGTGTACGCATGGCTGTTACACCAATATTTCAATGCTCATGCCTACTGCGTACTCATCATTTTAATACAAACGGATTGGTTTGACCTTTTTTTTTTTTTTTTTTTTTTTTTTTTAAAATAAGTGTTTGTTGTGTGCAAGTTGTGCGATTGTTATTAGATCAAATGACCATAACGTGTGTAGGATGTACCTGTGCTAGGAATTCAATAACTTCCCTAAAGCCTCTGGAAGCCCTTTGAAATTGATCTATATTTTTATTGTTCTGCGTTTTTAAGCTTTTGGCTTCTTTTTGAAAAATCCAAACAGTGTTGTGGCTTTATATAATTTCAGATTCATAGTATATATTCTATGCTATTCTATCTTTATATATCTGTATATTATTTGTATATACAATGTACATTATGCATGGTAATCTGGGTACTGTTATATATACAACATACATATCTCTCGCATATATTTATGACTAACACTTGCATATATTAAATATTTTTTATACCTATTAGAGTTTTATCTACTCAGTAGCTACTGCACATATTCACTGCACATAACCTTGTTATTTATTTATTGTATATATTTACATATTCAACCTGCACTTTTTTTAATTTGCACAGTGTTACTATTTGCACTTCTATTAGATGCTAAACTGCATTTGCAGCTGCTGAGTACCTGTACTGTGCAATGACAATAAAGTTATATCTATCTATCTATCTATCTATCTATCTACACTGAAGAAAAAGCACATAATCACAGGATGTAGTCCTTAAACATTACAGACTTGATGGAGTCAGACAGGACTGAAATCCCAGAGATACTCCAGTAATAATGACATTACCCCACATCCCCATGTAAAACTAGTCCACTAGCAAATAAATGGTGTGAAACAAGGCAAATACCTGCAAGCAAAGTGTGTAGTACATATTTAGTACTTGTACAAACTTGTGTGTTCTTCACCATCCAATGTATTGATCTGATTTGTTGCTCTCTATTTGTCCCAAATTGTTTCAAATATGTAATTAGTAATAGACTGCATATTATAAGTACGGCACTTTTTTATTTACATTTACATACAAACCGAAGCTAAATGATGACATGCATTGTTTCTGTTCTTGTCTAAAAGAACTTCACTCAAAATGGTTTGTGTAGTTTGTGCACACTGGTTTTCTTCTTAAATCAGCTATGTAGTGTTCATGGCATCAACTCCTGTTAAACTTATTGAACCAACACCTCTGTTGAATATGTTGTTGATTAATAATTTTTTTAAACTATTAATTACCACTTATTGGGGAGGTGTACATTGTAAGACCTTATGCAAAGGTTTAGTTTGACTGTGTAAGCTTTGGGGAGTGGGGATTGTGACCTGCTCAGGCATGTAGAAGGATCAGTCTGGCAACCTGTAAAACTCTTATACAAACAGGCCTATGTAGGCTAGCTTCTGACGTTTTCCTTAAAAGGGATAATTGAGAATGTGTGTCTTCTTAAGTCCTGTTTGCTTGGTCATGAGTACAAGTGAAAGTAACAAAGTCATCCAATGAGTAGAAATGAACTGCTTTGTGTGGTTGACTTTTGCTTTTTACACATGTAGTATGTTGTAGAATTTTTCTTCAGAACATTCCTTAGATTTCAGTCCAAATCAGTGCAGGATTTCTTGTACACTTTTAAGACTGTTCACCAGCCTCTGGGCTTGACAGATGGCAAATCCCGGCTGAAAACTGATACAGGACACGCCTCTTGATCTTTCACTCATGAGAACTGTAGGATGTCAAATGGAACGATTTGGAATGGAAGATGGTCAGAGACCGGATTCTGGGAGACAGACTTGTGCACAAAGAACACAGTAGATGAAGTAGATGAAGAATGACTAAGAGAAATGTATTTCAGTTTTCTGGAAGGATGAAAGAAATTGTGAGTGACAAGCACAGGAGGGAAAAAGTGAAAGCTGTGACTGGAAATAGAGGCTGAATTAGAAATGAGAGGGAGAGCAAAAGGACAGGAGAAGTGCAGTTATGTAATTGGCTGATTGCTGCGCTGTAGCATCAGAGAGATGCTTTTATACCGTGGTTATATAGCTTTCAAACATGGTTGCGTATAGCGGTTATGCAACCATGTACTGTGCCACTGTCCCAGGATGCTGATGTTAGGAGTCTGTGTGTCTTGGAGAGATCGGACAATGGGCAGTGCACTCATTGTTTCTTTATGAATCGCTCCCTCTTTGTGGTCATCTTTGTTCAGAATGTTGCTCAGGCAACCCTCACCGCAGCAAGTCATTTTAAAACATACACATGACACATGCAGAGCACATCTGTGAACTTGTCGTTACCGCCCTGTCTTTGGTAAAGGGCATTTCTTAGCATCCTGGTGCAGAAAATTGGGTCCTGCTCTCATTTAGCCTTTAGGATTCCATGCAACTTTGCCTCATATGCAGTGGCCATGTGATCAGAGTTCATAGTGAAAATAGAAAAAATTCCCAAAAGCAACATAAATCTGCTCTCTAGAGTTAGCTGAGGCTTGTTCGTAATTACAGAGACCAGTAGCTCAGTCCACGGCCTGCATCCCAGAGTGTACCACATGGTCCAACATGGTCCTATTTTGCCCTTCATCTCTCTCAGTGAGCCCAGAGAGGAAGGGGCATGTTTGCAATTGCAAGATAATTTTAGCACCACCTGCTCCACTGCTCTAGTGTGCTGTTCCCAATAATTTCAATACATATCCTTCCTAACTGAATTGTTTTTCTTTGGCTAAATGATGCAAAAAATTTCTTTTTGGAAAAAAAAAAAAAAGAACTTTCATGTACAACGCTACCACTTCACATTTCCCAAAGGTGACTGGACTTGAAAGAAAAGGGAACCGAGTCCTCACGCAGAATGTCAGCAGATCCTCAAATTCAGATACCAGAGTCATGTCATGCTTTAAAGGCTGCATGTCATATCATAATTTGAACCTCAGGGTCACTTTGGCATGGCAGCAGAGCTAGGGATCCCTAAATCAGCAGAGGCGTCATGCAGATGGTGATGCGGGCTAAAAGTCCAGCCCCTCCCAGCCAGTCTGCCTGGAGGGTACCATTAATGAGCGGCAGCCAGCAACCGTCCTGTGCGGTTCGTTAAGAGCAACTGGACAACAGAGCGTGACAACACCCTCCCTGTAGTGACAAGCTTGTGCGCACTCTCATAACGCTCTGTCCTTTACTGCCTGCATCCTGCTTGTCAATCCTCTGCCTTTATAGATATTTTTCTTCGCCGTAAAGCTTTTAGTCATTTATGTTGCTGGAAGCTGGATGGTGGTTTTTTTTTCTTTCTGATTTTGTGTTGGTACAGGACAGAGCTCACTAGGAGGGCAGCAGCAGAGATGCCATATATTTGTTTCGATTTAATTAGGAATCCCTCAAGAAGATCCGTGGAGGCCACTGGAGAGAAGGGTGTGTGTGTGTGTGTGTGTGTGTGTGTGGTGGGGGGGCTTCATATGTCAGAGAACCAGCTGTGTCAACTCTGGGGTCAGGGGTAAATTAATTGACTGCACCAAGCCCAATAAAGTTACATTAATGGTCTTGCTGTAGGTATGAACACAATAAGCAATATGTTGGATTAGATGCTAACTGCCCCCTTTCATTACAAGTTCAGGATTATCATTTATATCAATAATGATATGCTAATATTTATACCACAGTGCTGTTGAATTCTCGATTCTGATTCGAATCACAGGTTTATAATATTTTGCTTGTTCTAATATGGTATTGTTTCTATAGTGACAGCTAATTCATAACATTAACGAACTTGTTTCATGGATGTTCTTTGACACTAAATGTAACTATAAATGGATAAAAAATGGAATTAATAAATAAAAAAAGGAATTGTTGGAATTGTTGGTAAATTGCTGTGGTGTACGAGGAATAAAACACTTCTGGACCTGCTGTTATTGGAAAATAATCAACTTCATGGTACTTCGTGTGCTACACTGAACTTTTACTACAGCTGAAATCATTACATTTATTACTGAAGTACACTGCAGTTACTCCCTAAATTCTTCTTCACATATGCACTCACCGGCCACTTTAATAGGAACACCTGTACCCCTGCTCAGTCATACAATTATCTAATCAGCCAATCATGTTGCAACAGCACAGTGCATATCATCACGCAAATACAGTTACAGGCTCACTGAAACTGTGCAGTTAAAGATAAGAAAAATGTCTTCTGTTTTTTTCCTCCCAATGTTCAACGGTCCAGTTTCGGTGAGCCTGTGACCATTGTAGCAGCAGGTTCCTATTCTTGGCTGACAGGAGCTTCTGCTGTTGTAGCCCATCCGCCTCAAGGTTCGACTTGTTGTGCATTCTGAGATTCCTTTCTGCTCACCACGGTTGTAAAGTGTGGTTATTTGAGTTACTGTAGACTTCCTGTCAGCACAAACCAGTCTGGCCATTCTACTCTGACCTCTATTATCAACAAG